TACGATACCTACTCTGTATCAAATCTTTTTTATAGATATTAATTCTCCATATTTGGTAAATAGCCGATTGAATTAAGATTCAATCCATTGTCCAATCGGTCGTCACCCTTGCAGTATTTGTATACTATATAATATTATCTATGAATAATAAACGCGCAGACATTTTTATGTAACAGTCGTACACATGTAATAATAATCTCTTATAAGATAAAATCTGCGAAAAAATTTCACGGAGTTCACAGATCCCCAATAAATAATAATTATTGTACACAACACATAGTTAATCGTTGTCAACTATTGCAATATAACAAAATGGTCACCCGTTTTATTTATAGTGAATTTATACAACGAGCATCGTGAAAATCGCAAAATTATTGTCCGCATTTGTTAATCCGTGCGATTTGTTTTTTTTTTGGTCGGTTTTGATTAATCGTTTCCGTTTCAATAGATACCTATTCTAAACCATATTATAATAATGTTTGTGTGAATATGTAATAACACAATTATAATGCAAAATTTACTTACCCAATACAGTAACTAGGTCTAAAAAGGTTGAAAAAAATCTCTTGTCGTTTTTTGATCGAAACGAGATTCCCGATAGAAAATTTGTTTATAGACAGAAGCAAAACAAATTATTAAATAAAGCACACGTTATAGTAAAACCCATTCATTCTACGCTGTGTTTAGAATTTAAAATAATAGTGAACGTACATTTATCATGGATATTGGATGCCGATATTTTTAGATTCTGAGCAGAGTGAGAAATGTATTAGTTTTACAATGATGTTTATTTTTTCTTTATATGTGACCACATTTTCTACCAAAAATGTTGCTCCGATTTTCAAAAGTAGCACTTTTTCTGAAAGGAAATTGGACTAGGATAGTACTTTAAGAGGTCATTTTTGATTCTTCAAGTTTTCCCAATAAATGGGAGAAAACGTAGGAAAAACAAGAAAAATGTACGAAATATATGATTTTTAAATCGTAGATATTACGGCCTTTCAAAATATATAAAACCAAACTTTGCTCAGAATCGTTTTTCATTAGCAATAGTTAATCCTTGCATACATATACATTAAATTTCTCTTCGGCCGTCCAAACTTCTCACCTACAACAGTGGTCCATTTATCGTACGAAGTATGGCTGTTTATATTTTTTTTTATCTATAAGACTGTACAAATACGGTTTGCAGCATAGCAATAATTTAGATCAATTTTCATTCATTCAGTCCAATCGATTAAACATATTATGAAGCACTAAAGCGATAAAAATTTATTCTGAAAACTGCAGTATTGAATTCAACGTAGAAATAATAATATAAGTACATGAGATCTAATTTTTCAATATTTCAAACTAAGGATTAACTAATAAGAATTGCAGTAATTATTCGAAAAAGTGGACTGACTAATCTCATGGCACTCATTACGCAGATTTCTAACGCAGATTTTCCTTACCACTTCACTACATCGATCAGAGTGATTGAAGGGAAATTTAATTTAATTTGCTGCGTAATGTGTTCGACCAGTGGTATTCAACATGTGCGTCGCGGCTCCCAGAGACGTCGTGGTTTATTATCAAAGGAGTCGCGTCTATAGTAGGTAAAAATAGTAGAGTATTGCAGTAAATTTATTTATTTTAATTTTTATTACTATAATTATTTGTTAGGTAGCCGCTAATTTGGTTTTCAAAATCAAAAGATCCGTGGACCCAAAAAGTTTAAAAATCACTGTGTTTGACAAAGAAAGTGAATATCAGTATACAATCCCATTAATTAATTTATATGATTGTGTGTGCACTAAAAACAACATTTAAATAAATTAAATTTTATAATAATTATTTGTCATATTATAACTTTCATGACCACTTTTCTTTTTATTTATAATCATTTATTTATTGTGTACACATTATGTATACTTAAAAAATTGTGTTGTATTTGTTTAAATAAGAAAATATTGGTTATTTCTATATTTAAAATCCATTAGACGGCCGGTATGTATCGCAAATACGACTAGCTAACCTAACTACACTAAAATGTAAACAAATTATTTTTATTAAAATATAAATAACTAATAAGTAAGTACGTTTATTATTAAATTGTACAAAGTGAGGCACACTTGTCCGCGCAAAAAGTGAGAGAAGTCAAGAGATATACTACCTTCCTCCAATTGGATTAAAAATACAACAAATATATAAGTATACAAGGTGTCTTTTAAAGAAATACCATTGAAATATCTCCTGAGATAATAAAGATAATCAAAATCTGTTGTTATTTGTATAATACACACAGGGATAAGAACTACGAATATTTAAATTTGAATTCAATTTTTATGTTTTGATAAAAAAATAACTTTTAATTTTATTCTTTAGAACATTTTGACGTCTCAATTTTTTATTTTCATTAAATTTATAAAATCGTGCAGCTGGCTGTAATCGCATTCGCCAATTGATTATTATTATGATGATTAATGGATAATAAATTTTTTTTTCTAAAATTTAAAAAAATGTTAAAAATCACGAATTTAATAGAAATAAAAAGTTGAAACATCAAAATTTTTAGAAGAACAAACTCTATAAAATTGTTATCTTCAAGTTTGTCGAAAATAATAAAATAAAAAGTTATTTTTTCAGTTTTTTATCAAAACATTTAAATTTAATTAAAATAATATTTGTTATCCTTATTCATTTGAGTTTTACAAAAAAAAAAAAAAAACAGGATTTGAATATTTTTATTATTTTCAGAAATATTACAATGGGTATATTTTCGTGGAACATGTATCGTGTATATATAAACATGTATTTGATAATTTAATCTTGAAATATAAGTATAAGTACGCATATTATAGGTATTATTGATATGTTATTTTTGCTAAGAATATGCTTGATCAATTAAACCGATGTTGAATTTTTTGAGGAATTTCTCATTACCGGGTTCGTCAAATATAGAAGAAGATTTTACAATTTATTCGCGATGATTATTTACCACATTCTCTTCCGTTTAAATGCCTGGTTATACCACGAGAGATACTTATGTACACGTAAATATTGTAAGTAAATCAATGTTTTCTATGAAATTCAACGTGGCGTAAAAATACAATTTTCTACGTGCGATACTTTTAAAATAAATGGCTCGTAAAAAAACATTGAATTAAATATAGGTAATAAATATTATAAAATAGCATTTAATGAAAAATTAAAATGCGCGAGTATAAAGCAAGTATAATAGCACAGTTTATCTCACACGTTTATGTTTTCTTATCAAGTATTATACTATGCATATTTTTTTATGCTGATTATGAATTATGATATAATATTATGGTAATCTACTCGTATATAGTTCTATAATAACATGATACAACAATAGTAAACATATCGAACAAGTAGTTTTCTTTGATACTTGATTACTTACGTGCATGAAATGTTATACACAGTGTTTCATCGCGTGTACTAAATAACTTAAGCTATATTAGTCTATACAATGCATTATTCAAATTTTCCGATTATTATACATGTATGTTAAAACAGAGTCGCGTAAATTGTATTGCATCAGTTTTTTTTAGAAAAACTGTTGAGAATCTTGGAAAATTGTTCAAATAATTAAATACCACCGGAATGCGCAAAATTCATATCTATTACGGTGCAATATAAACAGTTTGAAGCATTCTTTACTAACCGAAATATAAAACCAGCTTTTTCGTCAACTCAGAATCCAAAATCAACATATTTTCTTTCAATTTAAATAAAATAAAATAATATGTAATAGTACAGCCAGTATATTATAAAAAATAAAGTAAGCGCGGTGGATGGTATTGTAGATCAGATATTATATCATCGAGAAAGTTAACAAATTATAACAAAATAAATACCTACGCACGCTTGCAGAACAAAAACATTAAATCATAGTTGACCGAAAGTCGATTAAATATCTACATATTATAGGTACCTAATATTATATCACGTTAATTATTATCGTGTGTAATAGACACGTTTTCAAAACAAAACTGATGCCCTAGGCCACAATATCTGGTATAGTAACAAGGAAGGCGAGTTTCTAGGAAATCTGACCGAATGCTATCAACGCGCGTAGGCTCAAATACACAAAATGTAATTATTATTATCAGAGATTGGTAGTAATAGATTAGAAAGGATTTTTTTTTTCTAAATAAATGGCAATCATAATAGTAATTAGTCAAAACACCATAACGGTATAAAATTAAAAATATCTAGTTCGTCGTATACCTAATTTCAGTATCAAGATGATATTATTCTAATAAAACATACTTTCACAAATTTGAGTTTAGAAATTAAAAAAAATAAAATAAAATAAAATAGCAAAAAAATAGTCATTTTAAAAAAAAAAAAGAGCTGATACTGCTAATTGGTGCACCACTGTTGAAGGTAGGACGTTGGAAAGATAAGATACTTAAAGTTATTTAATTTATGTTTGTAAGTAACAAAAAAACTATTGCTAACGAAAAACGATTCGGAACAAAGTGTGTATATCCATGATTTCAAAGGTCGTAGTCGTAATATTTAAGAATTTTATCGAAATTTGATCTTAAAACCATTCTGAAAAGGACGTCATACGAGGTCTGACCAATAAGTAATGAGACTAATTCAATAAAATACGTATATTTAAATATTAAGATACATCGATGTGATCCCCTTCAAAGNCTCTCATAACATTTCTGGAAGGCTTCGACTGGAATGTCCTGAAGTACCCTCGTCACGGCGTTCTGGATATCAGTTATGGACTCAAAATGCGTTCCTTTCACGGCCAATTTTGTTTGAGGGAACAAAAAGAAGTCGCAGGGTGACATATCCGGCGAATAGGGCCCTTGTGGCAACACTGCGATGTTCTTAGAGGTCAAAAATCGCGGCCCACTGAAGGCACGATGGCTTGGAGCATTGTCATAATGAAGGATCCACGTCTCTGGACAGACTCTAATGACTCGTTTTCGCAGCCGATCGAGTACTCTCAGGTAAAAATGTTGGTTGACGGTCTACCCAGGTGGTACAAACTCTTTGTGCACGATCCCTTTGCTGTCAAAGAAACAAATCATCATCGTTTTCACTTTTGATTTGCTCATTCTCGCCTTCTTCGGTCTGGCTGTACCAGGAGACAGCCACTGTTGACTTTGTCGTTTTGTTTCGGGATTGTACTGAAAATACCAACTTTCATCACCAGTAATTACGCGATCGAGAAGAGTTGGATCAGCTTCAACCTGTTCCAGACAATCCTGTGAAATGGACATTCGTTCGTGTTTTTGCTCCACCGAAAGGTTCTTCGGTACCATCTTTGCACACAGCTTTTTCATGGACAAATCATCAGTTAAAATTTTTCTGACGGTTTCTCGTTTCAAATTAAGTTCATCAGCCAACAGTCGAATGGTTAAACGCCGATCTTGATGCACGAGAGTGCACACACGCTGAACATTGTTGTCAGTTCAAGCTTCAACCGGTCTCCCACTTCGTGGTTCATCCCCGACGCTTTCACGACCATTTTTAAAATTTGTATGCCATCGAAACACCTGAGTACGACTCAGGGCTTCATCACCGAACACTTTAACCAATTTATCGTACGTTTCCATAATGGAATCGCTGAGTTTAACGCAAAATTTAATCGCGTACCGCTGTTCAATATTACGTTGTTCCATATTTGTGACACGCCTTACAAACACGTTGTCAAAAACATAACACAACTGGAAAACTAATTATTGTACGAAAATCGCGAGCACATGTATCGATAGAGGAGGGATGAGAGATTAACCGAAGTTTCAGATTCGCAGTGTTACCACAAGCGTGGCAAAAAAAACAGTCTCATTACTTATTGGTCAGACCTCGTAGGATAATGGTGACGGGTGCGGACACTGTTAAAGGTAATTTATGTATACCTGTAAGCAACAATAAACCATTACTTACGAAAAATCAATTCTGAGCAGAGTTCAGTTGATAGTGATGCTTTGTCAACAATATGTATGTCATATTATTGTAAAATAATTAAATTGGTTTTCTATATTTTCTTTAATAATATTTGTTTATTGTTATTTATAACCTTCTAGTTTTCCTACGTTTTTCCTCTGTTTTTTTTTTTTGGTTTTCAAATTTTATGAGAAAACTGCTGAGAAAATCGAAAAATTACCTCTTGAAAGTACCTCCCTAAACTAATTTTTTTTCAGAAAAGGTGCTACACATAAAAATCTGAGCAATTCTTCTGGTAGACAATTGACGCACAGATAAAAAAAAGTAATAATAAACATTTTTATAAAATCATAAGCTTCTTCGCTCTACGCAGAATCTAAAGCAATTACAAAAATAATTAACTCGTAAAACGGTAAATTTTTCATTTTTTATTTTTGTCTTGTTCTAATTTTTCCTGTATCTAATGAAAACTACTTGGAAAATTTAAAAAAATGACTTACTCCGAGAGCAACTAGATCCGAAATGTAACACCAAAAGTCGATCGTCATTATCTGATTTGAACAATTCTTGTATTCAAAAAGATGTTTACAAAGAAAATAAAATAAAATAAAAACACACATCATCTATAGATCTTTCACTCCACTTTGAAACTAAAACAAACGGACATATCTCGCACGGTTGTTGGACCATTGTTGTAGGCCAAAGGTTGGGAAAGTAGAAGGGAAATTTAATGTATTAAATATACAGTATATCAGTACACAACAATTAACCATTGTTAATGAAAAATTATTCTGAGTAGAGTTCGGTTAAACGTGTTTTGAAAGGACATAATATTTATGATTTGAAAATAATAAATTTCGTAAATTTTCCTGTTTTTCCCCATTTATTATGAAAACCCCTGGGGAAATCAAAAAATAACCTCTTCAATCGCATTGTGAAACCAATAAATTTCTCGCTCCGCTCAGAATCTAAAAAGGTAACACACCTATGACAAATTGAAACGATAAAAATCCGTGTTTTTATAAATTATTCAATTTATACAATTCATAATGCTATTTATTTATTTATTTACGGAAAAAGAAAATTCCATTTATAAAAAATATGTGCAACATAATATAACAATTGAATATGTATAAATAAAAATAATAAATATAGGTATACGTATAAAACATTAGTATAAAGAGTAAAAATACGCAGCATTTGATTAGTAATGTATATAATATAAACATATAAAAATAAAGAATAATTAATAAAAATAATGTAGACTGATAAAAAGAATAATATTTTAAAATTAAATCTAGTGTAATATTTGTTTGATATTGTTAATGTTACAAGAAAAAATATCTAATTTAGCAAAATTACCAACATTCATTAACATATTAGCCGGTGAGCAAGTAAAATAATTTAAGAGGGTGTTTCGTTAAAAAAATGTATTTGTATCTCTAGTGTTATTACAGTTAATTTTAAAATTAATTTTTTCTAATAAAAACTACAATCCACTCTACTATTAAGCAACTTAAATAAAAAACATAAAATGTGATTATTTCCTCTGGTTTTTAAGGAAGTCGTACTAAAAAATCCCCAGAACTCCGTCATAACCTACTCCGTTATGTACCAACCTGGTTAGTGGTTACATTATGATTTTTCTATAACTGCATTTAAGTAGTCAATTTTTATTTTAAAGTGCGATTTAAGCTGGTATTGAAAAATATTTTTTTTATTCCATAAATGTACAGCTCTATCTAACCTCATTATAATATACTAAAGACAATATATATTTTGTTGCTAATTGTTGTTTTATTTTCAAAGTTTCGAATAAAAAATAATAATAAAGAAAATACAATATTCAGCAAAAGAAAAAAAAACACTCATGAAAATAAAATAACCAGACGGTTTTTTTTCTCCCGTCATTTTTTTTAATCCGAACTTTACGAGTACAAACTTCCAACCCTATGTATAATAACCAGTGGCACGCGACATATTATTTTATTTAGCACGTTTTACTGAGTGTAGACAACATTCTACGGTATGTATAGTATAGTAGCAGTAGTAGTATTACACCGAATATTTATGGCTCGCATAAAACCTGATACGTTTAGTGTTAACACGGAATGGGTATATATGTAATTATAATAAGACTGTCTACAATTTTAGGACATACGTTTCGGCACAATAAAATATTGTACACACTATACACTAAGAATAGGCATTAACGAGTTAAAAAGTTAGAAATTTATTTAGTTTTAACTTTTAACTTAACTTGTAATTATTATTTTTAATTCTGAGTGCGGAGAGACATTTTTTGGTTGAACTATGATTGACTTTTTTTTTTTTGCTTTAAAAATGATGTGTGATTTTTTAGATTTAGACCGTAGCAAGGGACCATTGGTTCTACTATGATGTGCTTTTTTTTGTCTAAAACAACTTTTCGAAAATAAATCTTTCTCCGATTTTCCGAGTATTTCTGAAAGAACATTTCTAGTTTGTGCATTGCATTAAAAAGTTGATTTTTTTTATTTTTCTAGAGGTTTTCGAAGTAATTGGGGGAATTCGAAAGAAAATTTTAAGTAAAAGGGTATATATTTACGTAAATATTACGGCCTTTCACAGCACGTACCGTACAACCAAACTTCGTTCCGAATCGTTTTCGTTACCAATGATCTATCGTAGATTACAAGTATAAATCAAATAACTTTATGTACCTATCCCACCTTACCAATTACCCACAACTGCAACAGTGGCCTCACGCATCCCCAGTATCAGCTCTTCTTTTTTTTCTTTTTTTTTCTTTTGTGTGTGTATGTCTGTAAACAACTTTTCTACAAGAAATCCAGCTACAATTTACTATATTATTTTAGATAGTTAGTACGTTGGGAGATAATATTTTGATTTTCTGTGTATTTTTCGTTATACTTGAAAAAAACTGAGGAAAACGTAGGAAAAACGGAAAAGTTTACGACATTGGCAATATTATTACACTCGGTTTTGTTTTATTACCTTTTTTAATTCGGTTACAAAGAATCCTGAGCATCTTAAATAGTGCTGTAACCTTAAGTTTCCATAGAATACATTATTATCTTTTTCTAGACGTGAAAAAATGTTCAAAATATTCTGTCAATTTTTATCTATTTTTTAGGCATTTGACATAAGTTTTCGCGTTTTTTTTTAGGATTTGAATTTTTTGTTTGTGGATGAAATTGTTTGACTGAACACAAATTTTTGAAAATTTAATGCTCAGTTCATTATAAGTAAAAATAAAAGCTCAGAGTAAGTTAGTTGTTTTTATAAGTATTTTAAGAAAACTTTTGACGAAAATTGTAATAATGACGGAATTTGAAACTATGTCTAACCGAAATTGGTTCAGTGTCGTTTTTCATTAGTAATGATTAATCGTTACGTACAGATAAAAAATTAAATAACTTTATATATTCTGACATACCAACTTCCATAACTTCCAAACCTCAACAGTGACACACCAAGAAGCTTCATATCTTTGTGTTGTGCTAATAAATAATGAGTTAATGTGAATTATAAACCACGTTCGATTAATTTCAAATTCATATAATTTGAACACAATAATAAATTGAAAATTTAAACCTATATTTTTAATATAATTTGTTATAATCGTATAATTATAAATATATTTTGTATGTTACTCGGTAATGCGCAAGGAGTGTCTGCGACTTTAAAAAGTATAATTTTATATACCCATAATAGGTTTATCATAGATTCATCATTTTCAATTTTAAAAAAAAAATCATACGCCCCTATTGGTTTATTTTTTTTCACCATTAAAAAAACGGTTTCAAAAACAAAATAATAATAATAATAATTGGACGTTTATAAACCAATTTAATTTTTAACTTTATACAAGTAATTTAATTATTCATAAAGAAATATCACAAATGTCTAGACTATACGATAATGTTATTATATTTTAAATTACATCACTAACAATAATGAACGATTTCGCTTTATGCAATATTGTATCGCGTCAACCAATAATTTAAATATTATGTTCACGCGAAAAAACAATTAATTTAAAATCTATACACTGTTTTATTATAATGCAAAGGTAGTGCAAAATAATTTTAACAAAATTATAGGATGGAATATATTTTATTATTAAACGTATGAGTACAATAAACCCGTTAATTATTGTAAAAATGTTCACTGAGTGATTCACTAAACCTTTTTAGTTAATGTTAATCATTTTTGATTTTTATCGTTATTATAATTTTGTGCATAGTTTAAAATATTATACAGGTGGTTTTTCAATTATTTCTGAAATTTTATAAATAATACGTTAAACTATATAATACGTAATATTAAATTAAATATATACATATTAATATATTATATTCTATTTTAATTGAAACACAAATTTTTTATAAAAAAAATGTCTCTTTTTACTTAATATTAAGTGAAATGAGTAGTATATTAATATTTATACGGCCAAAAAAATTAATATTAATGAAAATCAAAAAAAAAAAATCAAAATTCTCAAATTTAACGGTTAATTTTCAACCAGTAATTAATTTTTTTTAGCTAATTCGTATAGTTTTGAACAAAAATGTAATACTTAATAACACAAATTTTCAAAAACTATTATCTTTTTTAAACAATTTATTTTGCAAGATGCGTTATTCATTTTAAAAACTGATTTACACAAAATTCTCACATTTTCGGCGTCTTACTAATTGCAACACTAAAAAAAAATCGAATAATGTTATCT